TTGCAATAAATGTGACTCTTTAATTCGACTTCTTGAGGCGTCCTTGTGTGATTCGCGGGGTACATTACAACACTGCAGCACTTTATTTTTCTCACAATGACTTGTTTTTCGAGCCTAATGTTCTCACATGACAGTAGAAAACCCAAACTTGTTATCTCTTAAAGAATTGAGAATTGTGTACAAAAATTTTACATAAATTAAAAGGATGAATTGCCCAGCTGATGTAATTCAGTGGATTGAACATAGTCCCATGAACCAAGAGGTCCCAGATTTGATTCCCAGTCAGGACACATGCCCAGGTTGTGGGCTTGATCCCCAGTAGGGGGCGTGTGGGAGGCAGCCTATGGATGTATCTCTCATCGATGTTTCTATGTATCTCCTTTCCTTCTCTCTGAAATCAATAAAAATGTATTTTAAAAAAAGCATCAGGTTTTTTAAAAAAAAGATGAATAAATTTAGAGGTGAAAATGCAAATTGTTTTCCAACTTAAGGCAAGAAACAAGCATCCTAGGTATTCTGGCAGGAAAACATCAGCTAAGAAAGGAAAATAGGTCTAGGTTCTCTAGATCCCTTCTGCTGCCCATCTAGAGCAGCGGTTCTCAACCTGTGGGTCGCGACCCCTTTGGGGGTCGAACAACCCTTTCACAGGGGTCGCCTAAGACCATCGGAAAACACATATATAATTACATATTGTTTTTGTGATGAATCACTATGCTTTCATTATGTTCAATTTGTAACAATGAAATTGGGGGTCACCACAACATGAGGAACTGTATTAAAGGATCGCGGCATTAGGAAGGTTGAGAACCACTGCTCTAGAGCATAAGCAGATTTATACCTGAGCCCATGCACTACCCACACTCCTTGCTTTCCAACCCTAAGCCCTCTTAGCCTGGTGTCACAACCTAATGAAAACGGTCTTGCTCCTTTTTTTTTTTTTTTCTTGTCTTGCTCCTTTTATAAAATACTATCATTTGTTTTTGAACCATTAACTTATTTGTGATTATATTACAACATGTAATTCTCAAAACAGGAATCTGCCTTTCAAGCCAGTAAAATAAAACACAGATAAGAGTTTTTAGAAACTAAATTTCCTATTTAGTGAGGTAACACAGTGATAAAGCGTGAAATACTATTTTTGAGGTCCTCATAAGATGTGAATGACCCACGTCCCGCGTGGTTCAGGGTTCCGGCTCTGGAGAAGGGCCGCGAGCAAATGACAGAGATGAGACAAGAAAAAATAATTTGGAAATTGGGGGGCCAGGCGAGAGCCCATCCCAAGAGGATGGACTCTGCTTGTGCTCAGGCCTTGTCATCCTTTTATTCAGTTTGGGATACACCTATAGCCCTTAGGCAGGCATTTTCCAGGAACAGACAGATTTTCTTATCAGTAAGGATTTACATGACTATCTGGTGGGGAAGTTGCTTCAGCTGCCATTGTCTCGACTAAACAGTGGGTGCATAGCCCTGACCTTTGCCAGGGCTCAAGGGTCACCAGCCTTCCGGGCTCCTTGTCCACACCTCTCTGCTAGTGAAGACAATAGGCGGGCTTCCCCCAATAAGATTAGTCATTCTCAATGTCTAATTGATTCCCTAACAGTTAAACCTTTTTTTAAAAACTGTATTTTCATTGATTTTTAGAGAGAAAGTAAAGGAGAGGGATAGAGAGATAGAAACTTTCCAAGCCTCAAACTCTCTCAACACCATCAGACTGGCAGGACAGAAATGACAGCTGGTTCAGGACTCATGCCAGCTTCTAAAGAAATCCTGGAATTGGCCTGACCGGTTTGGCTCAGTGGCTAGAGCGTCGGCCTGTGGACTGAAGGGTCCCGGGTTCGATTCTGGTCAAGGGCATGTACCTTTGTTGAGGGCACATCCCCAGTGCGGGGTGTGCAGGAGGCAGCTGATCGATGTTTCTCTCTCATCGATGTTTCTAACAATCTATCCCTCTCCCTTCCTCTCTGTAAAAAATCAATAAAATATATTTTAAAAAAAAAAGAAATCCTGGAATAGGCAGCTTCTGCAGGTTAGTACCCTGAACAAATCAGGAATGCGTGGTCTCCCCAATTCTCACCAAGACACTGGATTTCTCTTGCACAATCATGTTTTCGTTTCAGCCACCAAGTGACCAACCACATGTACAGGGGTTTAAATCATAAATATGGCCCTAACTGGTTTGGCTCAGTAGATAGAGTGTTGGCCTATGGCCCAACCAGGGCCTGGGCCAGGGAGGAGCCTGCAACCAAGGTATGTGTCCTTGACTGGAATCGAACCTGGAACCCTTCAGTCCAGAGGTCGATGCTCTAGCCACTGAGCAAACTATCACTTTTTTATAGTATCCTTTTATGCACAAAAGTTTTTAATTTTAATGAGATCCAGTTTATCTCAGTGTAGTTTGAATTTGCATTTTAATAATCACAAGTGAGGTTGAACATGAGATATATTTTTCCCTTATAGAAGTTTACAGTCTGATTAAACTAGGCAAAACAGATAAAGCCATATATTCTGAATGGTATACGCTAGTTTTCAGTTTCCCCACCTGTAAAATGGAGCTGTTAGACCAGTGGTTCTCAACCTGTGGGTCGCGACCCCTTTGGCGGTCGAACGACCCTTTCATAGGGATCGCCTAAGACCATCCTGCATATCAGGTATTTACATTACGATTCATAACAGTAGCAACATTACAGTTATGAAGTAGCAACGAAAATAATTTTATGGTTGGGTCACAACATGAGGAACTGTATTTAAAGGGCCAGAAGGTTGAGAACCACTGTGTTAGACAAATATGACCATTAGAGGAGTATGCTTGCAGCCCTGACCGGTTTGGCTCAGTGGATAGAGCATCGGCCTGGGGACTGAAGGGTCCCGGATTTGATTCCGGTCAAGGGCATGTACCTTGGTTGTGGGCATATCCCCAGTGGGGGGTGTGCAGGAGGCAGCTGATCGATGTTTCTCTCTCACCGATGTTTCTGGCTCTCTATCCCTCTCTCTTCCTCTCTGTAGAAAATCAATAAAATATATATTTAAAAAAAAAGAATATAATCTTAAAAAAAAAAAAAAAAGAAGAGTATGCTTGCCATTAGTAGGAAACCATGAACACCTTTCTCACTGGATTCTTTAGTCTTAGGACTCTTGCTTCCGAGACTAGATCTTGGTCACTCGGAGTCTGTACCACTGGCTTGTGGAGCGTTTTCTCCTGG